TAAAAGGTTACCACGAGCCCTAACTATTCTAGCCTCGGTCAAATTATAGAGGTTTGACAAGTGGGATGATTGACAAGCACCATGTAGCTAAAAATCACCCCCTTCCACTCCTAAGAAGCCAAAAGGTGGATCACGGGATTAATACATTCTTGACACTACGAGCTTTGTACTTTCTTTTTTTTTTTTTTTTTGTCAAATATCAACTTCAATATATGTAGGTAAAGGATACAAATTAGTCTGCACAGCAGATTTACAAAAGTCTGGCAACTGCCAGGAAGTCATTGTGAGCTTCTTTGTGAAGCCACACAGGGAAGGATTGCTTCCACCTAATTTCTTGTACCACGCTAACTGCTAACTTAGCTAACCTGTGACTACACAGGTTCATTTCTCTCCTAATGTGAAAGAAGGAGCATTTCCAGAATGAGCGACTCAGTTGCCTTATGTCTTCAATTAGCATGTCCAGTGAGTTTAGGCCCTGACATCCTATATTGATCCTGTCCACTACAGCTTTGCAGTCAGAGAGAATCAGTAGGGATGTCATGTTCTCCTCTAAGGCCTTGCTCAAGGCTGTTCTAATAGCCATAGCCTCCAGTTCTGCAGCATCTCTAGTTCCTGAGTGTGGGATGGACCAAGTTGCCAGAATCTTTCCATTGTTATCTTTAGCTATGATTCCCACTCCAGCTTTCGTTCTTGCCTGGTTCATTCCCGCATCCGTATACATAATGGAGCTATGCTGTTCCATTAGACCAATTAACATGCTCCTTCTGTCATCTAGGGGGGGCCTGAATTCCCTGTCCCTCTCAGTCCTCCTACCTTCATCCTCATATTCTAACCATTCATCCATTGCTTTTTTGTTTATCTGGTGTCCCTCTGTTGATGCCTGGTTAAAATTTCCTTCATTTCTTGCCTTCCAAATTTGCCAGAGGAAGTTTGCTGTAATTTCAATATGTTTAGTTCCCTCTTCCCTTGATCTGGCTCCCTGCATATGTTCCCACCATCTCCAAAAGTTCCATGTATAGTCTTGAATGCCGTCCCATGCAACAGGGAATATTGCCCAGGCCATCTCTCTTGCTTTGCAATGAAGTAATGCATGTTCAATAGTTTCTTGCTCTTCCCCACAGCACTTGCAAGTCGGATCACCCTTGCCCGTCCTTCTAAAGATTTCCTCATTAGTTGGAAGGATGCAATGGAGACATTTCCACAAAAAGTGCTTAATTTTGTGTTTGATGTTTAGTCCCCAAATCTGGTTCCATACCTTAGAACGTTCTTTGTTTGTGCTGGAGTTAACATGCGCCTTTTTCTTCTCATTGGTCTCTTTGATTCGCTCTTTGGCCCTAGCATAACCAGATTTAGTAGAATAGCAGCCATTTGCTGTATATTTCCATTTGAACCTATCCTTTTTGTGGAATATACTGAGAGGAATTGCCATGATTGCCTCTGCCTCCTCCTTTGCGAAAAGTCCTTGAATAATGTCCTTGTTCCATTGCCTCCCTTTAATCAGATTGCTAACCTTGCTCAGTTGGTAGCCATTTGGTTTGGGAGTAGAGATTCTTCCACTTTTTGACCCCTCTACCCATCTGTCTTCCCAGATTTCGACCGTGGATCCATCCCCAATTTGCTTCCACATCCCACTTTCCAACAATTCTAATGAGCTGTGTAAACTTTGCCAAATCCAGGATGCCCCAGCCTTTACCTTAGACTCAAAGATATTTGAGTTAGGGAAGTACCTGCTTTTCATGACTTTGCTAACTAACAAGTTGGGCCATGTAAGGATTCGCCAAACTTGTTTGGCTAGCAAAGCTTCATTGTAGCATAACAGGTCCCTAAACCCAAGCCCACCATTCTCCTTCCTCTCGGCTATATCAGTCCACTTCTTCCAATGCATCCTTTTTTCCCCTTCGTCATTTCCCCACCAGAATCTGGCCATTAACCCACTTAGCTCTTTACACAAGCTTTTGGATAATCTGAAAACAGACATGGCATAAGATGGGAGAGCAGTAGCCACTGCTTTTATCAAGACCTCTTTCCCTGCATTACTTAAGAGTTTCCCTTTCCAACTCTGGGTTTTAGTCATCATATTTTCTTTAATAAACCTGAACACACTGTTTTTGGTCCTTCCCACAACTAAGGGTAACCCCAGATACTTCCCTTGTGTAACATGTTGGATTCCACCTAACCTTTGTAAAACCTCCTCTTTCTCTCTGCTGCCTGTATTTTTACTGAAGAAGACCGCAGACTTGTTGATGTTGATTTGTTGCCCTGATGCTTTCCCATAGGCCTCCAGTATTTCTTTTATATTTCCTGCTTCATCACCATTAGCTTTACAAAAGATAAGTGAGTCGTCAGCAAAAAAGAGATGAGAAACTTTGGGGCCTTGTCTTGCAATCTTGACTCCTGTGATTTGTTTGTTACGCACAGCTTTGTTAAGAAGGTTAGAGAGCCCTTCAGCACAAAACAAAAAAAGATACGGAGATAGGGGATCTCCCTGCCTAATCCCTCTCGAAGGCCTAACATACCCTCTCTTAACACCATTAACGTTAAAGGAGTAAGACACCGATGACAGACAACCATGCATCCATCTAATCCACAGAGGGGCAAACCCCATCTTACAAAGTATGGCATAAAGAAAATTCCATTCTACTCTATCATATGCTTTGGAGAGATCAAGTTTAATGGCCATGTACCCCTCTTTCCCCTCTCTTTTTGACTTCAGCCAGTGCATGTATTCATGTGCTACCATGACATTGTCCAGGATTTGCCTATTTGGGACAAAAGCAGCTTGGGAGTCACTAATGCAGGAGTTAAGACAAGGTTTGAGTCTGTTCACCAAAACCTTAGAGATGATTTTGTAAAAAACATTACACAGACTAATAGGCCTAAAGTGAACCAGGTTGAGGGGGTTGTCTATTTTAGGAATAAGGGTGACCAGGGTCTCATTGATAGCTTTCGGAAGGCCACCAGTGTGAAAAAAGCTTCGAATAGCATTCACTACATCTATTTTAATAATATCCCAATATCTTTGAAAGAAAATTGGAGACATACCGTCTGGCCCAGGAGATTTGTTGGGGTGCATGGAGAACACAGCACTCCTGATTTCCTTCTCAGTGACAGGTCTGGTAAGTTGCAGGTTCATCTGCTCAGTGATAGTCTTAGGAATACCATTTAATATCTCATCAAAGTCAGATGGCTTCGAGGATGTGAACAGCTTGCTGTAATATTGAGCAATTTCCTCCCCAATCTCCTCCTCAGTTGCACACCATCCTCCCTGTTCCTTCTCCAGTCTGGAAATTCTGTTCCTTTTCCTTCTACCCTTCACCACAGCATGAAAATAGGCTGTGTTCTTGTCCCCATTTTGAAGCCAATTGATTCTTGCCCTTTGGTTCCAATAAAGTTCCTCTTGCTTGTAGGCATCAGACAATTGTTTCCTAAGCATCCTAATGGTTTCTTTATTATCACTACCATGTCTGGTCCTCAAAGCTTGAATCTCTTCTTTGATCTTTTTGATTTCTATCCTGCTATTTAACCTCAACGTTCTGCTCCAAGCTGAGAGGGACATCCTACATTGCTTTATCTTCCTGCTGATTCGCATACCTCTGGACCCCACTTGATTTTTGCCCCACGCCTCTTGGATTAAGCCTTCTACTTCCCTAAATTGTAGCCATCTGGGATCAAAGTGAAATCTCCTTTTTGGCTTCCTAATTCTAGGTTCTGTCTCCAGCAGGATGATGTTGTGATCAGAGGCTTCAACCTCAATATGAGTTACTCTTGCATCTTTAAAAACCTCACACCAATCAGCACTTGCAAGAGCTCTGTCCAATCTCTGTTTAATTTCGCCCTCACCCTCCCACAGGTTACTCCAAGTCCAAGGTAGACCCTCAAACCCAACATCCAGGAGCTCATTTTTATTGATGAAGGCTTTGAAATCAGAGAAGGTCCAATTAGGTCGTATTCTGCCCCCCCATTTTTCATCATTGGAAATAATATCATTAAAATCGCCCATTAAAATTTTGTTTTTACCCCAAAAAGTGTTCCTACTACACAAACAATCCCATTGCTTTTTCCGAATTTTATCGTCAGTGCTAGCATAAACAAAGATGCACCACCAGTTATCAGGTTCATTATCATCCTTCACCAGGAGTTCAATGGTAAAAGGGGTAGATAAAACATTCAAAACCTTTGTGGTGTTTTTCCAAAAAACAGCAAGCCCACCAGCTTTGCCAACAGGTTCTACTAAAGCCATTTCCTCATACCCAATTTTCCTTTTAAAACCGTTCAAAAACTTTTTTTGATTTTTTGTTTCACATAAAAAAATAATGTTAGGGGAGTGAAGGTGAATTACCTCCTTAAGACAGGGAATAGTCAAGGAGCTCCCTGCCCCTCGACAATTCCACGCCGCAACTATCATGTGGACTCGGGAGACCAATTAAGGCTGGCCTCCATGACCTCAGTATTTGGTACCCGTTCGTATCCTTGCGTCCGTCTGGTTCTCTTTGCCAAGCCCCCATCAATTTGCATATGGTTGGCTTCCTCCTCCTCCTCCTCTGGTGATCTCCTCTTTGCAGCTACAGTTGTAGTGTCAACGTTCATGTCCATTTCTGAAAGAGGGAGCCTGCATAGCTGACTTTGTTGCCCTTTGCCATCTTTCCTGGCTACCTTAATCTGCCTCCTCCCTTTATTTCCCATCGCCCTTCCTGCTGGGATTATGCTGTTTGCACTTTGGATTGCAGCTGACTGATCTCCGATAGAATGCCCGACATCGGTGGTGTTTCCTCCTTCCTTGTTAGTTTCAAACGAAATGTCCATCTTATCCTTCATGTCCTGTTTGCAGTCCTGCTTATACCGGGGGCTTGTTGGAGTCAATTTACAAGTTGGGCTTACATTACTTTTGACTTCCCCTTGGGCCCACTTGCCTCCTTCCAGTTCTATTGGGTTTTCATAAATGGCCTTGCTCACCTTTTTTCCCCCCCCCCACCCAATTTTGAACTTTGATCGTAGGTTTTCTAGTCCCGCTCATTGCCTGACAAGACTAAGTCATCTTCCCTCTCATTCCTGGCAATCTTCAGTCTGTCAATGGCAGTTCTACTGGAATCCAGATCTCTTACCTGGTTAACTAAGTATTCTCCTTCGAACAGTAATTTCTGTGCAACCGCATTAATCGGTTCCTTTGGATCTTTAGGGAACTCTGATCTGTGTTCTGTTCTCTTTATGGGTGATGCACCCTTGGCTTGAGCTCTCATCCAAGGACCAAATTGAGGTTTGGAGCTGCCCCTAATTGTCCCTGACTTGTGCCTACATGATTTGTCACTGTGCCCAATTACTCCGCATCCATAGCAGAAATCCGGGCACTTTTCGTACCTGAATTCCACCCATATGCTCTGGCCACCTAATTTCACCACCGTTCCTCTTAACAGTGGCTGGCCTGTATTAAACACCACTTTCAGCTTTATGTGTCTCCCTTCTTTGCTGCCCCCCATCGGGATGATGATGTCCTCCACCTCTTCAAAGATACCACCAATCTTTACCCCTATTTCCTTGGTGATCCAATGTACTGGCAGATTCCAAAGTTGAACCCAGATGTGGGCTTTTTGGAATGCCTCCCACTGGCGGTCTATGCCTTCCACCCACGGCTTGATGTTTAGGAGTTGGTTGTCAATTGTGTATGGTCTTCCACTCAGAACCCTTTCCATATCCATCCCATCGGAGAAGTTAAATTGAAACAGATTTGCTCCAAGTTCGACCGCTACCATGTTCTTTGGATAACCCCACACTTTGCTGACAAAGTTCTTCACTCCTGTGAAGTTGGTGATTCTTTCCCCCATCACTCTTCCAAAAAGACTTTTCCTGCATTCTTCATTACCTATATCCTCATCCACTCCATCCAAGCTAATTCCTGAACTTTCTTTGTTGGATAGATCAAATCTGTCAAACACATCCACAAGTTCATCAGCCATGATTTTGCGATATTCAATGGTATTCCAAAGTCTTCACTCGATGACTTGCTACTTACCAACCTGCGCAAGAGAAATAAAATCAAGAAGTGTGAGTTAGGCTTGTACCCCCAAGTCTCAGAACCTAGATGAAAGGAAGTTATAAATTAAAGCAGAGATTTTTAAGATGTTTTCAGAGAGAGGAAATTTGTTGTTGTTGTTTTTTTTTTCCAAAACAAGGAAAGATGACGAGAAGATTTGAAGGATCTTGGGTAAACTACTGAAGAGCTAAAGAGACGGGATCTAAGAGGGTTGGGTTTGGGTGTTCTCAAAAGTTTTCCTGCTCCCACTGAAGAGGAGGCGAAGCTCTCATCGTAGAGAGGGAAACTCTCATGTAGAGAGGGGCTTTTACGAGCTTTGTACTTGCTCGGGTAGAATTTAGTGAGAATCCTTAAATTGAAGTTGATAGTTTTCCACTACTAAAGTCATCTCCCAGTAATATTCCCTACATTTCCCTTTTGTTTTTAGTTTCCAACAATACAATTTCCTTTGCACTGCAAAGAAGAGTAGAAAGCCATAATGCATTAGCAAAGGCAAAAAACGAAAAAAAAAAACAAATTCCAAATGCAGCAGGACCAGTGACATACCTCTTCACACCCTAAATCCATCATTACTCTAATGGATCGAGTAACAAGATCTGTAGCTGCAATATGAAAGTATCTTTAGTTTTGCAGGCAAATAAAAGGTGTCGTTTCAAGTGATATTGAAGTAGCAGAATGAAAACACTGATTCACATGTGCAAGCAATCATATCACTAAGCAACTTTTAAGCATAAAATAGCGATGTGCTACACTATTTCTATCGTTGACTAAAAATGGTCGGGAGTAGAGAGTTGAGATATGCTTGTGACAGCTAAATGAAAGGTAAGGTGCGACTAAATCAAGTTCAGTTCATCCCAGATTTAGGGACCTGCAAAGGGGGTTTGGCGGGAAGGGAATGGTAAGCAGAGCATGTACATTCTAAAACTTCGGTCTCTAAAAAAAAAAGAGATAAGGCAATTAGATGTGCTAGCCTAACTACAAAGAGTAATCAATACATATTCTGGGGGAACCAAAGGGTAACCAAAGGGAATCAATACATTCCTTTGCACTACAAAGGGTAACCAAAAAGTAATACATAATCCCACACTTCTCTCATGAAGCAGATCCCTAACTGTAGTGGTTAGTATAAACAGCAACATAACAATTCTAGCCCAAAACACAAAGAGGAAAAGAGCAACAAAGTACAATAGAGTTTAAATTTTTTAAGGCACACACCATAGTTTTTTTCAGAACACAAGCTACACACCAAAGGGTGGGTCCCAAAATAGCACAAATCCAGCTTCCTTGAAATTTTTATTTCATGCATGGCAGTTACAGGCAACTACAAGAAAAAAAATCTGAATGTAGTGGTTGCTTCAATTATGAATGTTCTGAAAAGAGCAGGCATAACCATTTATCCATTAAGGAAATTAAAATGTCACAAGCTAAGAAAATAACAAATTGAGTAGAATAACAATACCCCTTCTTTTTCATTGTCCATGCGTATCTTCTCTAGAGCAACTTCTTCTCCAGCTTTCCTTTCTTTGGCCATATATGCTTGGCTGGAAATTTGAGAGGAAAAAGAAAAATTATGGACTAAAAAGAAAAAAATATAAAATTAAAAGAAAAGAAAGAGGGAAGCTAAGCATTCCAGAATGATCTGATAACAAAAATACAAACAATAATCAAAATTCATGTAACCATCTAAAAGGCAAAAGAGAACTCAAATCGAAGAGGGAAAGATGATGAGATGGATAGAAACATACCAAAATTTTTTGATACAACGAGATGGGGACAAGCGAAAGCAGAAGCAGGAGAATTACAGAGGTAGGAATGAGAGAGAAAATAGATGAAGTTTGAGGAAGAGAAGCGCTGAAAGCAGTGAATCAGAGGAATGTTGAACTGGAAATATTATTGCTCAGATAATTACAATAAGGATATTGCTATTTAGGAGACAAAAAAGAAACACACTTGACGTACCAGTATATGGCCATCTGCCACAACATGAAATCAAACAGGCTAGCAAATCACAAATATAGAACTTCTTGCTAGCAAAGTTTCAAATGACAGAAGAAATTTTTTTGTTGCAATAAGTAGGCTACTTTGCAGTTATACATAAATAGATAAATTTTTTTGAATTACGTTTAATAAGGCTAAAAAAACACTACACTAAGACCTTCCCACAAAGGGGACAAGCACTATGCACGGTATCAGTTTGAAAAAGCACAAGTCAGGGTTCTTTCTTGATGAATAAAATCTTCAAGTCCGATTAAAGATAGAGATAACTGGATGTATTTTTCCCCATTTCAAATTAGAGCTTATAGTGAAGCTAGAATTCAAAGATAAGGCAGTATCCCCATTTCATTATCATTTGTGAACATTGTTGTACCTAATAAGAGCATATACTACCAAAGTTTTAGGACTCACTAAAATTTAGTACATAATCCCATATTCATCTCAAGAATCACTTCTCAAACCAGTAAAGAGGAAAGCATTGAAAGAGCAAGAAGATGGTTCACATCATTGACGAACATAAGCTACATAGCAGACCTTTCCAGTTAAAACCAGCTAAACTCACGACAGATCTAAAACACAAAAAATGGCTTAAAAGAGGAAAGAATGCAGGCTAGCTTCGTAAAACAGATGACGGATGCGATTGTAAAAAAAAAAAAAGAAAAAACTTACAACGAAGGAAAACAGCAACGGCCGGGACAGGATTCAGACCACTCAAACCCAGAGAGCGAGAGAGCAGAGAGTCGATGCTCCTTGCACTGTAAACAGCATGTACCCAAGACGACCACATATTTTCGATCATCGGGAACCTAAAAAAAAACCTTCTGCCTAAGCGGCAGAGCAACATTGCCAGTGGAAAAGAAAGAGAAGTTAGTGGGAAGAAAGCAAAAGCAACAGAACCAGAAAAGTAGGGAAACAGGGGCACATGGGAAGCATGTGAAACCTACATCAGATACCCCAACAGTATTCTATACCAAGGTTCAGAACCTCTGCCTAAGCAGCAGAGCAATATTGCCGCGGCAGACAAGAGGGAGTTTTCTGGGAAAAAAAAAACTAACGAAGAATGAGGGATCTGTAATAGCCATGAGAAAATCATAAAACACAAAACAAAATTTAAACCTAATCAAAGATTCCAAGCTAGTTCATTTACATGTCTTATCATTTTCTTTAAAGCTTCTACAATCATTTTCCCATTTCGCAAATAGAACACGAAAATAAAGATCAATCTGCAAATGTCTTATATAGTGCATTTCCTAAAATACTAAAAAAATTTAAAAGGACAATTTTTTTCAAGTGAATCACGGTGATATACCTTGACGGAGATTTTTCGATCGCTCTGGGGTTGCTTGAATTTCTTGACCCTTTTTTTCACTGTCTTCTTCGAAAGCAAAGGCACCGCCATCGCTGCTGATTCTTCTTACGTTTTCCCTCCTTAACCTGCACATTTCACAGACAAATCACAATCAGCTATCCATCTACAAGCATCTATAAAGAATAGCGCAGCACGGGGAAGAAGAAGAAGAAAGCTGCGGCTGCTGAAGGTTTGAGAACTTACTGTGGGTTAGGGTTCTGCGGAGCCACCCAGGTTTGGAATGGAAAAGGTTGTTTGAGACCACATTTAAGAGAAAATGAGAAATTCTATGGCCTTCACAAGCCAACGAGAAAAGCAAAATCAAAGGAAGAAGGAAAATCACCAACAAAAGTTAAGAGAAATAAAATAAGCAAACTTAGAGCAAGGAAGCCGCAAACTTAGAAGAAAATAAGCAAAGAACAAAGAGTCTTAAGGGTATTGAAGATTTGGGCATTATAAATTTGGAGAGGAGAAGCGGCGCTGCAACGGAGAGGTTTTTGTATTTTGTGTAGCTAACCCTAGGGAGATAAGGAGATAAAACGGAAGTGGAGGCTTTTGTGGAGAAATGATGAAAAATGTTGCAGCCCGTTGCTTTGCGAGCCTCTAAATAAATTAGGGAAACCCGAATTTGTGGCAAAAGAAGAGAAAGAGAAAAGAGGAAAAAGAATGACAGAAGAAAGACAGAGAGAGCAACTGCAGAGAGAAAAGGCAGCGGGAAGAGAGAATGCAGCAGAAGCACATGGGATACTGGCAGCGAGGCCAGGTGGGAAGCTAACGCGCAAGGCGCGAATGACTGAATGCTTCCAATCCACATGCCGGGCACGTGAGAGGACGACGGAAGTTTTGGCTGAATGCTGGTGAGACGTTATCTACTTATGTTGAAAAAATCAGCCTAACTGGAATTTCCTCCATCCGAACCCCTGAAGCGATGTTTGGAGCCTGGGAAAAAAAAAATAAAAAGTGCAGCTCTTAATGGACTCAACTTTGAGTTGTGGCAGGCCCATGCATTGCAATTTTAGAGTCGTTAGTCATGATTGACCAGACAGATGCACATCGTGTTTCTGTTTTTTTTTTTTTTTTCAAGAACGACAACATTTCATTTATAGACTAACTCAGATTACAATTCTTGGAGCAACTGCCCCTACAATCTGCTTGTACCAACTCAAGCAACCAGCCTGGGAAGTCTGACTTCCATTCAGCAGTTTCTTTCAAATTTGTAGCAAATTTAGCTACCTGATGACTAACAGAGTTACTTTTCCTTCTAGTGAAGGAGAAGCAACATTCATAAAAACTGACCCTCAGCTTTTCTATATCTGAAAGTACAGTTGCAATATCTACATCATTTTCTCCACTATTTATCCTATCAACAACTTGCTTACAATCTGTCTCAAACTCAACCCTTCTCCACCCTTGTCGTTTGGCCACAAGCATAGCTTCTCTTAGAGCCAGCGCCTCCTCCATTTTTGGACTGGAACAACTTATACCTGGCACTGCCCAAGCTCCAATCAGCTCCTTCTGCCAAGACCTCGCAACCAGTCCCCAACCAGCTCTATCCTTGTTCTGATGAACAGCTGCATCTG